AATATTGATGAAAGAGAAAAATTTGATGATGGTAAACATGGGAAAAGATCACAAATGTGCCTGCCATAATTAATTAGGCATTCAATAATTACTTTCCTATTTAATATTTATTTATTATATTAAACGGAAAAGGATCAAAACTATCCTCAAACTATTCGAAATAGAGCAAATATACCCTTCATTTCATTTTTGGCTCAAAAATACCCTTGTTGTTAACATAAGAGTCCACAAATACCCTCCAAGTTAACAACCCCGTTAACCTCATGACGTGGCATTTGATGTGGAAAAATAAGCCACATGGCTCAACACCTAAAGATCCACACGATTGCCACCTAAGCTATCCATGCCCATTAACCCTTTACCCATCCCACTAAAGAGACCGACCCGTTCCCAATTAAAGGTTAAAGAATAGAGATTATGGCTGCTGCAGGTGTTGATTATGGCTGCCAAAAGGAGCAGATTGCCAATCTAACTCATAATGCTGAACAACTTTCTCTTAGAAACAGCGACCCCAAAAATGGCACAACCGAGATTAAGAGTGAAACAGTTGAGAGAGTTGCTATTCCAATCTCGGGTCAAGTGATATTAAAGTCGTTGCAGCAGATGCATCTGCGTTTAGTTTTGGAGATGATGAAGACTATGAATGTGAATGGGTCGGTCCATTTAGTGGGGTGGGTAAAGGGTTAATGGACATGGGTAGCTTAGGTGACAGTCATGTGGATCTTTATTCCACGTAGGACGCTTACGTGTTGAACCATTTGGCTTATTTTTTCCACATCAGATGCTATGTCATGAGGTTAACGGGGCTGTTAAGTTAGAGGGTATTTGTGGTCTCTTATGTTAACGGCAAGGGTATTTTTGAGCCAAAAATGAAGCGGAGGGTATATTTGCTCTATTTCAAATAGTTTGAGGCTAATCTTGACCCTTTTCCGTATATTAAATATATATTAAAAAAATTATTTATTTGTATATAATTAATTTTGCTATTGATAGTCTAATTATATCCATATAACATGAAAAAAATAAAAAATTATATGGATGTTTGCCATATTATAGATACAACGAAAAGTATGTTTGTTCTCATCATTCCACTAATCTCTAATGACATAATTAAAATATTCTTTAAACATACTATAATTGGTAGAAACAAAGTCAAAAAGATTTGTTAACACCAAACTCTAATCAAGAATTAATTGTGATATCTTCTGTGATACGATAAAAGGTACTTTCGCTCTTATTTATCCCATCATAATTTTAATTAACGTAATTAATCTATCTATAGACTATAAACATACTATAAATGATAGGAACAAAGTAAAAAAAATATTTATCCTATTTTTTAAAAAAAACAACCTACTTTCCTCTTTAGTCTATTTTTAAAAAATGTCATTTTTTTCTTCAATTTTAGTTTTTTATGTAACATGTTTAAGGTTCCATGATCAAAAGACATTTTGATATATTTGACATAATTTTAATTTAAAACTATAAAATTAAAAAATCTTTTTTATTTTTTAAAATATCATATCGAGTCAAACTAAGTATTTTTTTTTAAAATAGATAAAATAATTATTAACACTACTATGAGTGCCCCCACCGTCCCACGTGAAGCATTTGTTGGTATTGGTTGATAATAAAGTCCCAAACCAATGAAACACTTTATAGTGGCATGGGTATTTTGTTGGAGTGAACAGAGTTATACAGATATTAATAATATCGAAATTAGTTACGCAAAGTGCATTATGTAGCTTATACTCCCTTTGTCCTAATTACTTGTCCATTTTTTCTTTTATAGTTGTCCCTAATTACTTGTCCATTTTGACAAATCAAGAAAGAACAATTTTTTTTACCTATTATACCCTCAATTAAATGACTAATAACTTTGAAAAATATAGAATTTTTCATCCACTTCATAATTAATAGGGGTAAAATGGTAAACTCACTATGTCATTAATTAATTTCTTAATAGGTGTGTTGATTAAAAAATGGACAAGTAATTAGGAACATAGAGAGTACTAGTTTTATTTTTAATATTGTACATAATAATATATAGATTCATTATATCATAACTTTTATCTGGTTATGCAGAATTGAAAACTGATAACAAACATCATCTCTAATGTGTTGAATTTTATAAAGCATATAACAACCAAAACACTATCAACTATGATACTAAGTTATATTAATTTTAATAAAATACATGAATAATTCACTTTCTAAGTAACAATCAAGTGATTTATAAAATATTTTGTGTGAAAAATACTCCGTAGTGTTTAATCGGAAGTGAAAGTGTTCTCTAAAAATATTTATAACATGTTTTTGTTTTTATGCTGTTTCAAAATGAATATTATATTTTATAATTAAAAATAATTTAATTTCAAAATTCATTTTTATTGTTAATAAAATGATTAATAATCACTCAAATATCTAAGATTTGTTCTAAATCATAAATTTTAAAAAATAGTACTAATATTTATTAACTTAAATCTTGTGTCAGATACCACATAAATTGAGATAAACAAAATATTTTAAATAGCTATCAACACATAAAAGCAAAGTATTTATTACGCAGTTCGGCCAAACATTAATTAAATTATTTGTTAGATGTCAATTACTAAAGTATTCCACTTAAAAAGTACTTTAAATAATACTTATTTTTGTTAGATAATGTCCTCTTATCCTTCTTTCTTGGAGAGTTTGAATTGTATAATAAAAAAATTGTGATATACCATACTTGTTGATCTGAATATAAATTATTTTATTACGGGTAAAATAAAATTTCAAAGCTAAAATTATTTTCAATTATAAAACTATGACCATTTTAAAAACGAATTAAAATTTTTTTGTCTCATGAATTGGGATATACTATATCATACACATATATATGTCATTTAACTTGGACTCAACTGACATTTATGTTCTTCAATTTTGGGTGTGCACAATTAGACACTTAAACTTGTATAAAGTTAAACAGATAGACAACTGCATCTTACGTGACATCCTACATGATGATTTGTGTCCTATATGTATTATGCCACATATGACTCATGTGTCTACGTTATTGAAGTTTAAGTGTTTACTTGTACATAATCAAAGTTAAAAGACATAAACGTGAAAATGAGGTCGAGTTTAAAAGACATATTTATCTATTATACCTATAGATATAGTAAATGTTTTCCGCGATGACATTACTTTGGGACTACGTATGTCGCCCTTGCTTGGGTTCAAATCCGACTCTCAAAACCCCAATTCTCCATCTATCTCATTTGCATAATATTGTGTTAGAGATCATATAACTTAATTTCTCTCGAGATCACATTTCTAACTTACTTACCACCTACGCAGAACTGAACTGAATGTAAGTATCGAACATCAAATAAAAACGAAAAAATAATAGCAAGTATACTTCTCGTGACTCTTGAAAAGCTTCAAAAGCCAACCCCTACAAAGTGTACAAATTTAGTCACGAACCAATTTTTAAATATGGGACCCACATACACTAGTAATGGGTCCCACATTCATTATGAAGTTGGAGTTTTTTTTTCATATAAAGCCAAACATGTCTTTAATAATTATTCAATCCAAACACGGCTCTTCTTACTTGTGGACCCCACTACTTTTATGCCCAAAAAGACAACTCATTTTTTTTCTCATAAAAAGACAATTTATTATTTTCCCATCTTTAATTAATGCTTAAATTTGTTTGGCTATAAAACATCCTACGTATCAATTTCTTATTCGTCGACTTCCAAATATCCCTCTCATCTGAAATAACTTTTGTTTAAATAATTAAATGGTTCGAAATTTTTTCACCTTTAGTAAATTAGATATCTCGAGTTTAAGTTTCAAAACATAATAAAAGTGTATTGGAAGTGCTTACCGCCTCTAAAAATGAATTACAATGCGTGAAATTGAATTTAGTCAATCTACTAATATAAATATCAAATATTGCGTAAAAAAAAATTCAATCAAACAAGAGGATAGTATTGAAAACTTAAACTTGACGTAAATTATTAGTTTTGCTCTCGAATTATTGACAATCTTAATAACACTTTTCTACTTGACTAACTAAACTTAAATACACCTCGATGTTATGTCATGTTATAGATCGGGGTGAATTTTAGTTTAATTAGATTAAGTAGATGAATATTTTTAAGACCGTTAATAGATGAGTAAACAAACTAATAATTTATACTATGTTCGGGGGTGTTTTCAATACCTCTCTTTAAACAAAAAAAAAAAAAGAAAAATGATAAAATTGATCTAAATAGACACAAAATAACTCCTTAAATATCAACTGAATAATTTTAATTTTTTTAAGTATGCTAAAGATAACACTTTCAATCTATGTCAAATAATTATAAAACATTATCGATAAAATTTATGGTAATTATGAGAAAACAAAGAAAATAGCAAAATTCACATTTTATAGGTTTAGTGTAATTTGCAAAATTTCATTATTTCTAGTTGGATGCAATTTTTTTTAGGTGAGACATGGATCGTCTTATTGGGAACAAGTTCTTTCGAAATAAGTTATTTAATTATGTATATGAGATAATTTATCTCATTATTAAAATATAAATAGTGAAATAAATAATCTCCTAACACCTCCAAACAAATATAAAATAAAATAGTCATATGTTTTATCCGTTAGATTATTATACTATATACCTCACCCCAAACGACTACTCAGTGTTGAGTATTATTCTTTGTGTCGAATATTTTAGAATATGATGGATTTTTTTTGACTTTATCTTTAAACTTTTTCATTGTTTTCCTAAAATCAAACTAATATAAATTAGTATTAAATATTTGACAAAGACTAAAAATATTTAGTTTTGGTAATTTTTTAAAAATGAAAATTGATTAATACATATTTAATTGATTATTTTGTAGCTGTCCTAAAATGTAAGGGACCATTTTTGTCATTTTCTCAAACAAAGAAAACTGAGTTACTATTTATTACTTATATATATTAGTCAGTGTTAGTAATAAAAAATTAATTTTGACAAAAAAGCAAATCAAATTTTGATTCTCTCACTTAAACAGAGAAAACTAACCGAAATAATGGGAACGGAGAATTGGAGTTTGACGGCGAAGCTATGTGACTCATGCAAAACGACGCCGGCGACGGTGTTCTGCCGGGCAGATTCAGCGTTTCTCTGCTTAGGATGCGACTGCAAAATCCACGCAGCGAACAAGCTAGCGTCAAGGCACGCGCGTGTCTGGGTTTGTGAAGTGTGTGAGCAAGCTCCGGCGATTGTCACGTGTAAGGCGGACGCTGCTGCTCTCTGCGTTACGTGTGACCGTGATATTCATTCTGCAAATCCGTTAGCTCGTCGGCATGAGCGGTTTCCGGTAGTTCCGTTCTATGACTCCGCCGTCGCGAAATCTGACGGCGGTGGTGATGCCGATGCTGATGCTGCTGCTGATGAGAAGTACTTTGATAGTACTAGTGAAAATCCTTCTCAACCGGAGGAAGAAGCTGAAGCAGCGTCGTGGATACTTCCGACACCGAAAGAAGGAACTGATCAGTATAAATCTGCTGATTACTTGTTTAATGATATGGATTCGTATTTAGATATAGATCTAATGTCATGTGAGCAAAAACCGCATATTATTCATCATCAACAGCATCAACACGGCCATTACAGCTCCGACGGAGTTGTGCCGGTACAGAACAACAACAACGAAACGAGTAGTCATTTACCAGGTCCAGTCGTTGATGGATTTCCTACCTACGAAATCGATTTTACTGGATCTAAACCTTACATGTACAATTTCACCTCTCAATCCATTAGCCAAAGTGTATGCATCTACATCTTTTCTCTTCAATTTCCTTCTTCCTCTTCCTTCATGTGAATCGATCTCATTTTGCTTTTGTTTAACTAACAGGTTTCATCATCATCTCTTGACGTCGGAGTTGTACCGGACCACAGTGCGATGACGGATGTATCAAACACCTTTGTGATGAACTCATCTACCGGTGCCGGCACCGGCACCGAGGCTGTACCGAATGCAGTTTCCGGTTTAGACAGAGAAGCAAGGGTAATGAGGTACAGAGAGAAAAGGAAGAATAGAAAGTTCGAGAAGACGATTCGATATGCTTCTAGAAAAGCTTATGCTGAGACTCGACCCAGAATCAAAGGGAGATTCGCTAAACGTACTGAAATTGAAATCGATTCACTCATCGCCACCGATGCTTCATACGGCGTCGTTCCGTCGTTTTAATTTTTATATGTAATTATCATTTGTAGTTTTAAAAAAAACATCGAAGAAAAAATCGAATTTTCTATTTTTTTTTCTTTTTTTCTTCTTCACGTTGTTGTTGTTAGTGAGGAGGATCGTAACTATGTGTATATATCTAATTTTGTTTCCTATTTTTGTATCAAAACGCTATTAAAAAGATTAGAAATTTGTAATGGATAAATTTTGTAGTGAAATATTAAAATTGTATTTTATTTAGTTTAATGATTTATTTTTGATTTTTTTAAATAGTTATGAACAATTTAACGACAAATTAAGGCGAAATAACCTGAGAAACCATTACACGTTCGAATTGTAAACTACTTTTCTACTCATGATTTTGTCGACTAAACACTTAAACTTTGTAAAACTCAATTTTTTAAACTCCTCCGACTGTTGACTGAGCTTGTGTAGCAACTTGACGGCTGAGTTTCACACATATAAGGAGAGTGAATAGATGAATTATGATTTATAGACTAAAATCTATGGTAAGGAAAATTTTAAATTAGGTTATTGTCAAAATATGTTTTGACTTAAAAATGATATTTATTCTTCCTGTGTAAAATCAATTGCTTGATTGGTGAAATTTTTTGGATTTTAAAGTGGCTACAATTTCAGTTTCTTAATCTTCCATTTTCAATTCCTCCAAAAATTGTGATTTTATTATTAATTCATAAATCTTCTTTTTAATCTTTGTTTCTAGAGGTAAAAAAGAAAGATTTTTTTTTTTTTGGCAAGTTATTCAACTGTAATGAAGTTTTAATGGGAAGATGTGACTACATGTGGAAAGGTGCCGAGGTATTATGGTGGTGTGGTGGTGTTGAAAGGTGAAAATTTTGGGGATTTTTATTGTCAAAAAAGAAATTATTATAAAAATAAAAAATGACATGGCTAATTTTATCTGACATGGAGCGTGACATCAAAGCGATTGAGAGTCACAATGAGTTGGAAGGGTTCAAAAGGTTGAGTTTTATCAAATTTAAGTGTTTAGTTGGCAAAGTCGTGAGTAAAAGGGTCCCGTTTACAATTTGAGTTAAGTATAAGGGTCTTCTTAGTCATTCCGCCTTAAATTAATGATGAAATTTGATTTGATGATTTTTTTTTTTAGTGAGCGGCATAATAAGTGAATGCCAATATATCATTGAAAATAGTAATGCATATTCCAAAATTTACTTTCCTAAGTAATTTTAATTGCAAAACGAAGTGATATAGTCCAATATTCACACATAGTTGATATGACGTTTCAATAGCAATCTATCATAATGCATGATAAATATTACTATTAGCTAATTTCATTATTATGAATCCATAATTTACTTCAATTTTTTCATCATTTTCTTGGATAATACATTGAGCTTTCTTTGAATCTCAACATTGTGTGGGGAGTCTGGCATCAAAATGGACATTTTTTGAATCTAAAATATCAAAAGCTCTCTAAAAATACATTTCAAAATAGATAGTTCGTCCATTATGTACAAACTGTAACTACATCTATTGATACCGCGATCTTAGTTCAAAATACATCCAAAATAATATCACATAAATTTTAAGATAGTTCGTCCATTTATGTACAAACTGTAACTACATCTTTTGACACCGCCATCTTCATTCTAAATACATCCAAAATAATATCACATAAATTTTAAGGTAGTTCACCCAACAAATGGGAGAACCACAATTCTTTTATTAACTCCTCACGTGAATACTCTTTGCATTCACAAACATTTGATTCACGTGAGGAAGAAAGATACATAAATTCACATAGGGAGTTAATAAAAAGAATTGTATGGGTAAATTATCTTTAGTGTTTACGTGATATCATTTTGAATGAATTTGGAGTTAACGGGGATGATAGTGTTAAAAGATGGTAGTTATAATTTGTCCATAAATGAGTGATCAATCCTTTTTTTTGTGTGTTTTTAGAGAATATCACTTTTGATAGCTAAAGTTCGAAAAGTATCCATTTTGATCCCAAACTCTTATGCAGAACCTATTTAAAGAAAAAAAAAATACTTCCTATCCAAAAAATTTATATCATGAATTCAAACTTAAGACTTCTGCTTAAAGAAAAAACGAACTTTATTCATCTCATTATATTTCTAGATAATATCAAATTATGAATGGATTCATTCGATGTCAACATTGAGGGATAAGATCAATGGACTTTTCACAACACTGCTGTCATTTTACTTGGACAAAATTAATAGAAGACTATTAATAATAATAATAATAATAATTATTATTATTTATAATAATAATATTTAATTCATCTACTTTTTTGTGGACAGAAAATTAAGAATTGACACTCTAGTCAATGTCCAAAATAATGTCAAAACACATGGCCTATGTTCATGCATTAGTCTTTTTCAATTATAAATAACTAACCCAAAAGGAGAAAAACAAGAGTTTAATTAAAACTTTGGTATATTTGTTAGAGTCGTTTGGTTAATGAAATAAGATATACAAATTAATTTGAAAAGTATTATTATTAAATACATTTAATCTCCAATATCTTAACTTGATTTTTTGTTATTTCTACAAGATAAAATAAATTAATTTAATAATTATAATTTTGAGATAATTTAATCCGCGAACCAAACGAGTATGAGAATTATTAGATTTTGGGAGGACCGCATAGTATATCAAAATCTGAAAGCTTATTGGTAGATTAGATTTTCTCATATCTTTGACAAAAATGAACGGTCCTCTAATTACCAACTCCCTAATAAATAAATAAATTAATTAGTTAATAAAAAGAAATTGACACAAAAAAAAGATAGTATTATCACTATATTTTAATAATTTTATGCACTTTCTGTTTGGAACTTCATTAATTTTTAAGTAATTTTCTGTTTGGAAGTTCATTATTATATCCCAACTATATGAATATAAAAATTGAACAATTATTATATATTATTATTATACTCACGTTAACTTGGCTTATATATGTCATACATTATACGGTGAAACACTTATTTAAACTTACTTAGATTAAGGAAACTATTTTAAATTCTTATAAATGTGTATAAAATGGAATAATGTCAAATATCTTATCTACTTTTATCTTTTTTGTTTGAGCTTAATCCATTCTTTCTCACCTACTTGTTTAGGTTATTAACTTATGAAGAAATATGAAATCGTCTTTGGTAGGAACAAATATAGAGAGTTGTTATATATTAAATTTTTTATAGAATGTTAATAAATATTTGAATGTGAATTCAGTTATTATTAAAGTATTAACTTGAAATCGTTATAAGAATTCATAAATTAAACTTCAAATCGAATCAATCTATGATCTTTGGTAAGAAGTGGTTCATCACTTTATCTCCAAAGTGAAAATTTTCAACATATCATTATATACCCGAGCTTCAAAGAGGGTGTCAAATACTAAAAGGGAAACCAAATTGTGAAATATTTCGACATAAGACTATATAGTTGAGTTTCAAAGTAGGTATATTTTATTCATTTTATATCTCTCCCCTCCCCCTCCCCCCCACCCACCCCACCCCGAAACCACAATTCTAATTACAATATAAATACATTAAGTAATTTCTATTTAACTTCCATATCAACTATTGTATCTAAATCAATTTTAGTTTATTAGGTGATCTTTCAATATAATTGGTCAAAGTCAAAAGTTATATTAATTACACCTTGTTCTTTTTTTCAAACATGTTAATGAGTATCTAGTCCTATAACATGTCCATGTGTATATCATTAATTAGTTTCAAACACAACACAAAAATATGTTGTTTTTTTTGTTAAAAGAAAAATATGTTACACATATCATCAATTGCAATAATATTCTCTTAGAAGTCACATTAACCCTACTATGGAAAAATTTCAAAAAATAGTTAACATTTCAAATAAATGCAGTTAATCAACTTCAATATTCCAACTCCAAATTAGGCAAATGCCACCTCGACAAAACACGAAAAAAATGTTGGTTATATATAAAAAATAAGCCTTAATTAAATCTTAGTGACTCGTATTTAAAAAGCTCTGCAACCAACTTTCCAAGCTAGCTTACAAGTAGTTTATAAGTAGCTTTTGCGAGCAACTTTTTGAATTAGTTTATAAATTACCATCAACTCCCTCAGCTAGCTTACATGTAGTTCTGCGAGCAACTTACTAAAGTAGCTTATAAATTACAATTAACTTCGTGAAGTAACTAATAAAGCAACCGCCAAGCAGTGGCGGAGGCAGGAATTTTATCAGGGGGTTCGAAAAAAAAAAGATGTTGTTGCCTAGAATTGAACCCATGACCCCAAAAGCTCACATAAGCGAAATCCTGAACCCTATAACCGTTGAGCTACTCCTTTGACATATGCTTAAAGGGTTCAATTTTAAATATATACACATACACAAAAAAATTGATCTTATATATATAGTGTAATTTTTTTACCGAGGGGGTTCATCACACAATGTACATTAGCCCCTACCGCCAAGTAGCTTTGCGAGCATTTTCCTGAATTAGCTTATAAGTTACCATCAACTTTCTGAGCTAGTTTACAAGTAGCTAGCTTTGCGAGCAACCTCTTGAATTAGCTTATAAATTACCACCGGCTTCCTAAACTAGTTTACAAGTAGCTCAACAACTTACTAAAGTAGCCTATACATTACGACCAACTTCCTGAAGTAACTAACAAAGCAACCGACAAGTAGCTTTGTAAGCAACTTCCTAAATTAGCTTATAAATCATCACTAGCTTCCTCAGCTAGCTTACAAGTAGCTCTACGAGCAACTTATCGAAATAACTTATAAATTACGATCAACTTCCTGAAGTAACTAACAAAGCAATCGGCAAGTAGCTTTACGAGCAACTTCCTAAATTAGCTTATAAATCATCACTAGCTTCCTCAGCTAGCTTACAAATTGCTCTACGAGCAACTTATTGAAATAGCTTATAAATTACGACCAACTTCCTGAAGTAACCAACAAAGCAATCGGCAAGTAGCTTTGCGAGCAACTTCCTAAATTAGCTTATAGATTGTCACCACCTTCCTCAACTAGTTCTACGAGCAACTTATCGAAGTAGCTTATAAAATAAGATCAACTTTTTCTTGCAAGTAGCTTTGCGAGCAGCTTACAAATAGCTATGCAAGCAACTATTACCTCTGTTCTTCAAGTTATTCCTACTCCACAATCTCCATTGTCACACCAAACTAGCAACAATACCTTAAGGGGCTTAGAATCATGTTCATCAATGTCGCAACTCAAACAATTCCATGCCCAAATTGTCAAGCATGGCCTCTCCTATGACAATGACGCAATGGGTCGAGTTATTAAGTTCTGTGCAATATCCGAATTGGGCGATTTGAATTATGCAGTCCAAGTGTTTGATAAATTGCCTGAACCAGACCCTTTTATATATAATGCTGTTATTAGGGGTTTATTGAAATCTCAAATGCTGAGAGATTCTTTGTTTTTTTACTTGTGTATGTTGGAACGTTCCGTTTGGCCTAATAGTTTCACTTTTCCTCCTCTTATTAGAGTTTGTTGTATAGACAATGCTGTGGAAGAAGGTAAACAGATTCATGGTCATGTGGTGAAGTTTGGGTTCGGGTTTGATCGGTTTTCGCAGAATAATTTGATTCATATGTATGTGAATTTTCGTTGTTTGGAGGAAGCGAAGAGGGTGTTTGATAATATGTGTGAGAGAGATGATGTTTCTTTGACTACATTGATTAGTGGTTATGCTCAATTGGGGTATCTTGATGAAGCTTTTCAAGTGTTTGATTCGATTACGGAGAAAAGTTCTGTTATTTGGAATGCTATGATATCAGCTTATGTGCAGAGTAACCGGTTTCATGAGGCGTTTGCTTTGTTCGAAAGGATGGGGTCTGAGGGTGTTGTGGTTGATAAGTTTCTTGCTGCTAGTATGTTGTCAGCTTGTACGCGACTTGGAGCGTTGAAGCAAGGTGAGTGGATAGTTGAACATGTCAAGAAGAGTGGGATTGATCTGGACTCGAAATTGGGTGCTACGATTATTGATATGTATTGCAAATGTGGCTGCTTAGATAAGGCTGTTGAGTTCTTTAAAGGGTTGCCAAGAAAAGGAATATCGTCATGGAATTGTATGATTGGAGGGTTGGCGATGCACGGAAAAGGTGAGGCTGCCATTGAGGTTTTGAAGGAAATGGAGAGTGAGAGGGTAGCTCCAGACTACATTACGTTTGTGAATCTACTTAGTGCTTGTGCTCATTCAGGGTTGGTTGAAGAAGGAAAACACTATTTTCGTTACATGAAAGAAGCGTATGGCATTGAACCTGGCATGGAGCATTATGGATGTTTAGTTGATTTGCTCGGAAGAGCTGGATTACTGGTAGAAGCAAGAAGGGTCATAAACGAGATGCCTATGAGTCCCGATGTAGGTGTATTGGGTGCTCTTCTTGGCGCATGTAGGATTCACAAGAACATAGAGCTCGGAGAAAAGATAGGGAAGCAAGTGATCGAATTAGAACCTCAGAACAGTGGTCGATACGTGTTGTTAGCTAACTTATATGCCTATGCAGGTAGATGGGAAGATGTTGCCAGTATAAGAAAGTTGATGAATGACAGGGGAGTGAAAAAGGTCCCTGGCTTCTCCATCGTTGAATTAGAAGGCGTTGTTAACGAGTTCATTGCAGGAGGAAGAACTCATCCTCAAGCCAAAGAGATATATGCAAAAGTAAACGAAATGCTGGACCGTATAAAATCTGCAGGCTATTTTCCAGATTCTGATGGAATGCAACATGATATTGATGAGGAAGAAACAGAGAATCCTTTGAACTATCATAGTGAGAAACTAGCTATTGCTTTCGGGTTATTGAAGAGTAAACCTGGGGAAATTCTTCGAATCACAAAGAATTTACGCGTTTGCAAGGACTGTCATCAAGCAAGTAAGTTCATCTCAAAGGTTTATGATCGCGAAATCATCGTTAGAGATAGGAACAGGTTTCATCACTTTAAAGGTGGAGAATGTTCTTGTAAAGACTACTGGTAACGACATGGTTGTTATAAAAATGACTGTTATAGAAAAGTCGGACTATATATACATACTTCTGTTCACTTCATATATAGATATAATATAACAAATATTGTTATACACTGGTGAATCAAAATGCAATAAAATGGGAATTACAAGAAAACACAGCATATATTTGCAAGCTACTAACATAGAACAACAACAAATTTGGATTTTGACTATGCCAGATTCACTCTTGAACATTTCTTACAAGTTAGAGAAAGCTTTGACAATGTTCAATTCTCAAGGTTCCTTACATCATAAACCCAGAAGTCTCTATCTATATTCAATATTTACGTAACGTCCTATGGGATGGGTTTTCTTGTCGTCTAATTACCACGAGTTAGACGTGGCAATTACTTTTTAAGCCGAGGCACCACGTGAGGAACCCTCTTGGCTACCAAGAAAACGGACAACCACAATGGTGATGTTATCTGCACTGCCTCTTTGATATGCTTCCTGCATCAGCCTCTTAGCTGCATCTTCAGGATCTTGGATCGGCTTAACCATCGAGACAGCCTCCTGTAAATTTATTTGTAATGTTCAAACTGGGAATTGACTATAAACTACTTGATATTTAGAGTGAAACCATGGCGATGGATTGGATATCTAACGCAGAAAAAAGGGAAGAATTATTAACCTCATTCGTCACAACATCCCAGAGTCCATCACTTGCAAGGATGAGAAATTCAAGAGAGCCATCAACCTTTTCCTCCTGTGTTTTGAACAGAAAATTATGTCCGCAAATACAACAAAAACATTAGGTATATAAGATGTGGAAAATATAAAGAGCAATAAAGATTCAATCAACGTGTCTTCCAAAAAGAAACATGCTATCAGCTGCTATCGAAAACTTAAGACATGTCCTAAAATTATAATGAGATGGAAAATGCAATCAAGCAGGAAGAGTCTGTTGGGCATAAGGCTGAAAAAGATGGGAATGTTATACAATGAGGACCAACTACTAAACAGTTTCCGAAATGTGCCAAAATATACATCGAGAAAATAGGTTGAAAAATATAAATACATTCACACAGAGCATTTGATATTCATTTCGAAACATGTAGTCATATATTGAAACAATAAACAAGTTCTTCAAGTCACCTGTATTTCTGGATCAGCGACAACGTACTGCTTTAAAAGTCTATCGCCAAAAGCACGAGAAACAGCAAGTACACCTCCAACTCTCCAGGTACCTGCAACACAATATGTTATGTTTAGACTTGCACGAGATTTAGAAAAAAATCAATCGACTAAAAACGGACTGTCAAATGTGATGGGCTTACCTGCCCACATCACAAAACCTCCAGCATCTTCAATGCGCTGTCGCTCATCTGTTTGGTCAGGCTTGTGGTCTCGAGAAACAGCAATAGCTGAGAATGAAATTAGCATCCCCAATCAGGTGACTGAGTTAAACTACACGGTCATAATGAATTATTAATCAAAGATGTACCGTACTGTAACAGACATTTAAAAAAAAGGGCAGTCTGGTACACTAAGTTCATGCTATACACGGGGTTCAGAGAAGGGCTGAACCACATTGGGTCTTATGTTAGCAACCTTATATTGCAGAGGCTAGTTTTGGGGATTGAACCCTTGACCTCCTTGTCACACTGCAAATTTACCATTGCATTCATTCGCCAAGATAGTATAGCAGGATTATAAAGATTACCAGATCAACTTAGCAAGTAACAACAACAAACTGTTCATGGGAGTTGAAGAAGAAAGAGAAGAAACGAACTAGCACCAATTACCAATTTCTTCAAGTTTTAATCTTTGGCAGTGGTTTCTCGATCAACCATCTGACTTATTCAAAACAATGGTGAACCAAGACATGAAGTGCAATGCAAAAGAATGCCTTCTTATTGGATTAAGAAATATGTATTATTGGAAGTGCTAGCATGACATCTTCCATATTCCCACAATATTTCAGGACATACCATCAATATGCAAATGCACTTTTATTTTACTCCATTCTCTCTAAAACAAAAATTAAAGTATCCCATCTTGTTCTCCTGACTTCAAAGAGCAGTGAAACCTTACATTTACAGTGCAGGTCATCATAGTGTTAAGACCGAGTAATTAGAAAAGTAAACCTTAATAAGAATAACTTACCTTTAGACATATTTAGTACGACAACAACCAAATATCGCGGGATACCAAAATCATAACAAACTCTTGAGGTTGCTCTAACCCAGATATTATATACCAAAATGCATCATACTTTTGGGGTGAAATACTATGAGCAGGAACCAAAAGCCAAATAAGAATCAAATCGCCTAAGCCTTACCTGTGCCACCCCTGCAGATAACAGCTCTAGAATCGCCCACATTTGCAACAAGTAGACGATCGCCCACAAGTATGGCAGTAGAAGCAGTTGATCCAGCATCTTTGTGCTGATTGTTTTCTGATTTCAGAAACTCAGAGTCTGTATGGTTGTATGCATCAGCTGCAGAAACAAATATATGAATGACAAAAGATATAGATAAGTTGTTTGTGAAAAGGAACATAGCAAGATACTTCACAGTACGTCAACATACCTATGGCAGATTTGGTGTCAGAGATAAATTTTGGATGCCTAATCAGGTTACTGAAAAGGTTGTGTTTCACATATTCTGCAGCCCTAGCACCTCCATGACCTGAAATAAGAGCAAAATGCAGGTAAACATATCCAATTGGAAAACATTTGACCAACTTTGCATGAAATTGGAACTGTCTAATTATTATCTTTAAGCAGCCTCCAAAAAATTAACAAAGATATACACATTGGTATTGCACCAAGGGCAAAAATGAACCAGCAAGGATCTAGACGTTTTAGAGCAACAAAAGATGCAGCAGATGCGGCAGCCGGGGAGGAAAAGTTGCATGAGGAATTTGAGAGGGAGTAGGAAGCTTCCTTCTTAATTTGATGAATTTATTAAGGTGCAGATGGTGATTGCTAATTGGAAAAGATAGTGTTTTGGGGGAGAAGGTGGTGTACGGGTGAAGGAGATGAAGATGGTCATTTTTATTTAAAATTTATTTTGGGTAATAATACCATGCGGCGTTGGTCTACTGAAGGATAACTTTATTCCTTTGGTCAAAATATTTTTCCTAAAAATTATTTTTGGGTTAAAAAAATCATGTGGCATTGCTAAATTGGTTGTTTCTCCATGTCAATGCGTGTGAACACACACATCTTACTTTGAGATTATTGAGAAAAACGTGTCTAAATGGCACAATTTGACTAAAGATCTAATGTTCAAATGGAAACAAATTTAATTCAAGTGGCTAGATAGAATTTCCGAATTAGTTTAGGGGTCCGACTGTCTATGTATTTGGCCCAAAAAAATGCTTGTAAAAGACAATGGAAGCAATCCTCAAGCTTCGCCTTCAAAACCCAATATAAACAGAAAAAAATATAAGGATCTATGAAGTATGAAACAGCATTGATCCAACCACAAAATTTAAGACAAATTTATAGTCATCAGACTGAATGTCTTACTTGCCAAATCTTGAATGACACAGAAATGCTTAAACATAAAAACAAATGAAGATATGTCTTTTCTCATTCACTCTAGTTCATGCACTTCATTCCAGTCAGGTAGAAGTTACAGAGAAAGAAGAGTTACCATCAAAAACTCCAAAGAGACCAACTACCTCTCCATCAACGCCATCAATTCTTGTCTCATAGAAATCCTCCATGGAGGACCTTTTTCCCGGCGAGCTAGCATATCCATAGCTAAACTTCCCATTTTGACTGCAATGCATAGCACTTGTTAGGCTATAGTTTTGCAACATTGTGCATATTATATAAACCTCCATTAAAGCTCAAACAATCACAATGATAGCAATTTGAGAACAACGATATAAGGGATTTCTGGATAAGATGGAATGTGGAAAAGATCAGTCAGAATATAATTTTCAAAATGTCCTGAACAAACACGACTGCATATAACCTGAATCACCATAAATTAGTTTTATGTAAGGTCAGAAAATTGCCAAAAGTTACTCCAATTATCTCATGGTAATTTCCAGTGTCTTGTTCAGGTTTTAACTAGTATTTGTCATATCCAGTCAGATAATATTGTGAATGGAACTTGAATAATATGGATTTGATAGCAATGTAATATGATCTACATTCCGTTTTTTAAATGTGAACCTTCATATGGATACCAATATGGACTATACGGTAACCTAATTAAAAGCTGAACTTGGTATTCCTATTCAGGCATGGTGCACAAGGACATTATGTAAACAGGTAACTACTTTATTAGAGTACAAAATTGATATACAGTAAATTAGCAGCTTCTTTGAAAATGGTGTTCGTAAGCGGTAAGAAAAGAAATATTAGTAAATAAAACAAGGATTTCGAGTCATAGCTCTCATGCATTCTCAAAACTTCTGATTTTCTCTCCAATTATTCTTCAAAGTCAATAACACATCGGTTGCAACTTAAACATGTACTTCCTTATCTTCAGGGACATATGGCAAAATAATAGTTCTTTCAATGCAGAGACAGTTTAACACGTGTTTCAGTAGCAAATATGAATCGGTACTTGCTTGTTTACATACATCTCCATGATGAACATTCATCAACTAATTCACGTAAGAGCTAACACATGATACAGATCACACATTTCATTCACAAAAACAACTCATAACCACATTCCAGGAGAAGAAGAAATAACATCAAGCCACCAAGTTCAATCATCTCCTTTTTCGCTAAGTTTACCCATCTATATCGGTCTCCCTCTTCTCTTAGCTTCCTAAACGACTAAGCAAATCCAAACCCAAACGTCAAATCCAGCCGTCAAATTTAGTTGGAATCCAGCAAATGACAAGCCAATTTTAGCTCAACGACAAATCACCCCTTTAAAGGGTTACGACAACTAAAACTAGACATGCATTCATCACCCAAGAGGAAAATGAATCAAACAAATATCACCCTAACGAGGAAACGACAATTCATTAATAGCTAACCGAAAATAGCCAACAGAACTTTCAACATCCATATAAAATTAAACACAAGTAAATAAACAATTGGGTGTTCTTTATATATATCAGGGGCATAGCTAGAATTCTAATTATGGGTTCAGAAGAACCAATATCTTAAGCAAAAAAAATGCATTTTTTTTATAACCATGATCCACGGATACCTGCCACCTCCCACCAACAACACGTATAAGGGCACATCTAGAGTTCTGGTTATGGGTTCAGAAGAACCAATATCTTTAGCAAAAAATTGTTTTTTTTTTTAACCGTGATCCACGGATATCTACCACCTCCCACCAACATGTATAAGAGGCATAGCTAGAGTTCTAATTATGGGTTCAGAAAAACCGATATCATTGGCAAAAAAATTGTATTTTTATCACAACCATGATGTCCACGCCAGCTTACGGCACCTCAACTATTTCCTCGGGATACCTATCACCTCCCACCAACAACAAGTATCAGGTACCAAATAACCTGCAATTTTTTCTACAATTCATAACACATAAACTCAAAATTCCAAATCCGTCTCCGATTTACACAACCATTCTGCATCTTGCACACATAATTTTCCAATCAAATTAACAAAAAATCATCAATTAAATAAATCTGTAAAATAAAAAAGGAATCAAAATCACCTTAATCCACCGCCACTAACAGGCGCATCATCAGCATGAACTTGATTAGAAGAAGATGACAACACCGAATTCAAATAACCCATTACGATCCACCGAAAAATCCAAATTATCCAAATTGCAAATGCTTAATTATCACCAAAATACATTTCAATCAACAAAATTAACAATTGAATCTGCCAAAAAAACACAAAAATATCAAAATTCTATTCAGATCTAAAGCTAAATACATAAATCAAACATGAAATTAATGTATAATTAAAGATAATAACATTTGTTGAAATTTACCTAATTCAAAAGAGGAAAATAACCCAAAGAAAAAAAGGAAATAAGCAAATGAAATTAGAGGGAAAAAAAAGGAAGAGGAAAATGGACAAGAAAGAAAAAAATAAAAGGGTGCGGTTGGGGTTGTTAATTTTTTAAAATTATTTTGGTAATGAATTAGGTAAATGATTGTAATGTGGTTATGTTTTGCCTCAAATATTCAATAAAAAAATGAAAATATTTTTCAAGTTAATATCTTAATTTTAGTTTCGGAAAAGAGTCAAAAAATTTCCTGAACTATGCGAAATAAATCATTTATACCCTTTGTTATATTTTGGGATAAAAAATTGCCCCAATTGTTATCCTAGAATACCACAAATACCCTCGAGAGTTAACAACACAAACTTTTGATGATGTGGCAAGCCATCGTGAGACTAATCCCTCCACGTCCCTAAAAATTTGGGTTGTTAACTATTTAGGATATTTGTGGTCTCTTGAGATAATATTGGGGTAATTTTTATCCCAAAATATAACAAAGGGTATACATAATCTATTTCGCATAGTTCAGGAGCAATGTTGACCCTTTTCTGTTAAATTTTTTTGTGATATTTGATTAAGTATTTTTAGTCTCTAATTACGTGTGAGATGTGCACTTTTGATCCTCTTTTTTTTCATTCTACTTATGAAATATATTCACAAATTAATCATAATTATGAATTGTTTCAGTTAATTAGGTTAGGGTAGAGCTAGTTTAGGCTTAGGTCGACGGAAACTGCATCATTTATAAATGTTTAAAATTATCTTTTATGTAAATATAGTTGATGTTGAATTACCTTTGACTAATTCCTATATTTATTTATTCATATTTTGAACTCGATAATCATGATTTTTCCACTGTAATTGACTATGTGCTATGTTAAAAATTTATAGTATACTCTATACTTGTGATGTTAATATAATTTTAAAAATATTTAAATATAGTATACTTTCTTAAAAGGGGTTTGATACACTTGAGTTGAAGATCTTGCAAAAACAATATTTCTATCTTCACGAGGTAGTAGTAAAGTCTGCATATACTCTTCCCTTCTCTGACCCTACTTAGTGAAATTTCGTTGTGTATATTAGGGGGTTGAGGGTGTGTGGTGGTGGTGGGGGGGGGGGGGGGGTTGAGGGTGATGTACCAAAGCTAACAAGGCAATGACCTAAAATTGAGGTAATGTGTAAGATAGAGAATTGGTCAATAAGACAATAAAATTACTTGTCCAAATGAAACTAAACATGGTTACCCAACACTTGGCATGTTGAGTTGTTGACAATACATAGAAGTATTGAGGTGTGTACAACTCCAAAATATATTATACTAATAATCAATAATTTATGTTCAATCACTAATTCAATGATTGATCCTCATGGATTAGTTTTGAGTTTTATATTTTCTATGGTAAGTAAATTATGAATTAATTTTATGCAACGATGAGATGTACATGCTATGATGAATGTGTGATCAGATAATATTAAAATGAGTAGATTTAATATATCGATTTAAATAACTATATTTTTAACTTATTTGAGATTGAAAAAATAATTATAATATAAACTAATGCAAGTGGAGATTTAAGTTTTTGGTTGTTTACTACTTTCCTTTTTTCAAAATTATATTTTCTTTAATTAATACTTTAGATAGAACATTGCTGAGTCATAAAATAACACGTCATATTTTAACTTTTAGTAAGTTAGAAGGATAAATATGTCACTTTTAAAACTATGGACACCTTTTCTAGCAATTTCTAAAATTATACACACTACAAACTTTTTTATTAAGTGTGTGTTACATAAAGTATGGCTCACCGCCTCGAATCGACCAATCGCATAAATTGGTTTCATTTCCGAGATTCAAGACGACTCAATAAAATTAGTAGCTTAAAATTTAATTTGATGAAAATCTAAAAAAAAAAAAGATATCGTATATGTTTTGTATTAAGACATCATATAAAGTTATTAATAATCTTCTCATTCAAGGTAAAGATCTAGAGGGAGTGATTTCCTTTCTTATTTAACTTGAGCTTTGATACAGCCTTTTTTTTAATATCATATGTATTTTAAGAAATTCTAAAGAACTATTTCATATTGCATCGATGCTGAAAAAGATTGGACTATTTTCAATCGAGACAAAATAAACTCTCATTCGTTTTTATTTTTTAAAAAAAGAAAATCTACTTTGACTCAATTTTTTAAAAGAAAAATTAATCTATAATAGGTACAATTTGGGTTTAATCCTTCCTTAGCTAAAAGTCTTGAATTCAGTCTAGAAATGAAGAAAATCTTGCTAGATATATATGTAAAATAAAAACATAATATACGTATAATATGTATATGCAAACAAATGAAGTAACACACAAAAATGAATTTGAAATTATATATACCGACAGTGTAATAAATTAACTTATTACAAAATATGAATACATAAAATAAGTTGACACTTCTTGAAAATAATACAATTTAAATCCCAAACTCAAACCTACTTACAAGCCCAAATTATAACAATAGAAACTAACACACAAATAAAATTCTGCTTACTTCACTATATTACCATACATTAATTTATAACCGAACAAGAAGTTCTAACCTCTCCATTCTCTCCAGACTTCACTCCAAGCACAGAAAGTCGCACAAAAGATTGACTCCAACTCCTGAAAAATCCGTCTTGATCATTCGCGAACTCCATGACTCTTTCCTTTGTTCGTACGTCGTTAAATAAAACAGAATCAGATTGAAAAAGCCCCTTATGTTCTATTAAATCTTTGAAATATTGATTGTCAAAAAGTTGAGGTGTTTGAGGATCATTTTTTACTGTAATTGTTGAAGTTGCTGCCCCTGCTGGACATTGTTTTGTTAACTCTGTTGCATATGCTTTGTCTAATGAAGGGTCAATTAGAGTGAAATTGCCATTTGTGTCCACTCTAAAACGACCACTAAATGCATTGCAATGTGCTGATCCTATTGTGTGTGCACCTACAATTTTTGGCATAGAACAAAAGTATTAGTAAAGTTATATACTCAGTGTAGTCGCACAAGTGAGATCTGGGGAGGGTGTGGTGTATGAAGATTTTACATAGTTACACCCAGTGGTGGAAGCCACATATATCTCAGGGTGGTCAATCAAACATTTTTCGTCGAAAAAATTATATTATGTTTATGTATATAGATCGATCTCTACACCTACCTTTGGAGTAGAGAGACTATTTCTGATAGATTTTCGACTCAAGAAAAAAAAATCAGAAGAGTGCAAAGAGAAAAAATATTATGATGGAAGTATTGAAGACAGAAAAGTAGCGACATTAAATAGCAAAAGATAATTGAAGTATAAGAAACAACATCAATGAAAAAGTATTGTTTAATTAGTTTTCAATATCTCTCGCGCATTATACAAATTCTTACCGAAACATGACAAAATAAAATGAAAAAGATTCTAATTTTACGTCTTAAATGAAATAAGTGAACATCGATAGTATATGATTATAAGTTCATTCCATATCGAATCAGGTTGGAATAGGGTTGTATAAGTTTTCAATATGAGAAGGGGTTATTGAGGCCTATCGAAACAATTATATTATGTATATATATATATATATATATATATATGGATCCCTATATCTTTACATTACATTTAAGATTAAGAATACGTGCAATTCGATCTGCCTTTTACAATTCTAAATATTATTTAATGGGAAAAGGATCAAATTTATCGCTAAATTGAGTAACTTTATGGTATATTAAATGTTTGATCTAATATTACACTTTATATGGAATTGAGTCATAATTATTACTCCCTCTGTCCCAATTTATGTGATTCACTTTCCTTTTTAGTCAGTCCCAAAAAGAATGACACATTTCTATATAAAGTAACAATTTAACTATAAAATATCTATTTTACCCTTAATAAAATGATTTACAGTCACACAAATTTCTATCATTCATTTTGGACCACAAGTTTTAAAAGTTTTCATTTCTTTCTTAAACTCCGTGTCGAGTCAAAGTACCTCATATAAAATGGGACGGAGGGAGTATCAGTTGTGAGAAATAAATGACTTTAAATTCTTGTAACCCTACTTAAATTGTAGTACTATCTACTCATAAAGTTTTGTGACCCTAATATTAAAGACTTTTGACTACGTACATTATGAATTTGTCTTCTCACCTTAGAAATTATTGGCATCATTTTAAAAGCTCCAATAAGTTCGATTTCTTAGGATAAAAATTAAAGATCAACGAAAAATAAATCGCATAATTAAATGATATAATATATGTACCTGATAGGATAACAAGATCATCTAAAGAAAGCCCCTTTATAGTAAAAATATTAATCATTTGATCCATTGTGAAACTTGTGTCCACTATATTTGGTCTCACATTTGTTGTCAAACTAATTCTTCCATCTCTTCTTCCTGTTGGAATTTGAACATTTGGCCCTCCTGCCTGTTTTTATAATCATCAAAATAACAATAATTAACACCTTATTCTTAAGCAAATAATTAATTACTACTAAAAAAATCGTGAATTTTCGATGAGCGTTCCCATCAAAACACCATAAAAAATATGAAAACATTTCTGACAAGTCAATTTTCGAATAATAACAAGAACCAGTCAAAAATATGAAAACATTTAATTTTCACTAATCAGCAAAAATACGTATCAAATATGTTTAAAATGTAATTAAAAAGTTCGTAATGATAAGTACAATAATTTTTTTTTCTCAATCTTGGTCTAAATTCTTGAAGACTAGCTAATGTACTAGTCAAAACTCGATAGATAATGAACCTATCCTTATATCCTTTTCCATTTAAACATCAGACTTCTATAAGTGACAAACTAAACAATTTCTTTTATCGCAAATTAAACATGTCACATAAAATTAACATAAGACCATCACACATTAATTAAACAAACAAAAACACACTATAAAAAAAATAGAAATTAACAACGGATAACTTCTATCGCTAAATAATAAAAATTACTTCATCGCCAATCCTTATTTATGAGTAACAAAATATCAAAAAAATATGTTAATTACGAGCAATTTAGGGGGGGGGGGGGTTATAAGTTTTAGAAGAACATACAAATTCAACAGCATCTCTAGCAGCCAAAGCAACAATATCAGCACAAGAAACAGTAAAAGGGCAAAATATTTCCAAAACTCTTTTGGCATTTTCTATTACTGAAAATCCTCCAAGTGATTTGTTTGCTGGATCACTTCTTTCTGTTCCATTTCCTTCTAATAATATAGATGCATCACAACCCTAAAAAAAAATTAAAAAAATTATAATCTTCCTCAATATTTTAGCCCGGGGGCTTTTTGGTCTAGTAGTAAGAGCGCAACATATGATATCAGATGTGTGAGTTAGACACAAGTTACGAGCTTTTAATCCTACTCAACACAAAAAGTAAAGTTTGATATTTAAATGGAGAAGGGTAGACGGGAGGGCCTGTTATTAAAAAAGAAAAAAAAAGGGTCAATCTTTCATATGCTAAAATATTACGTCATTTGCCTTGATTTATATGACACATTTTTCTTTCTATCTTCTTGAAAATGATTAATGTCACTTTTTTTTTATAATAAAAGGAATTTTACTTTAAAATTTCCGTTTCAGCTTATATGAGATAATTTATAAATATGTAACATGTCCACAAACTTTTTAAGTCATTTTATTTTTAAAACTATGTGTCCAATCGAATGATATCATGTAAATTAAAACCAAAAAAAGTATTATTTGAGGAAGAATATAAGAACTTCATCGAATTTTTTTAGATAAAATTAACTTTATTCCATGTTTACACCAAGACCGATAAAATTACCTTAGTAAAGTGTAAATTGAAGTGAAAAGATACATTCCTAGTACTTAATTGCATGCAAATTAGTTATTAGTTAAATGTATATAAAGGACACATATCATGGTATCAATTGTCATAATAATTAAGTTGAATTTAATGGCGCTTCATGATATCCTTCATCAAAAAGTTTTATATATATATATATATATATATATATATATATATATATATATATAACCTTAAATATCTATAGCGAAATTCCTAATTTTGCTAACTATTTCAAATTACCAACATATTGTGACATGTTAGTTGAACGTTGATAATACAAATTTCTTTTATACGAGCGCAATACATATAAGTTAAATCCATAATTACTAGAAAATTTACCTCAACAAAGCAATCATGAAAAAGAAGACGAAGAAGTTTCCCAGGTATAGTTGGATCCATAGAAGAAGCTGATCTCACTGTATTTTTCACCATTAATTCAGCTGAGGGACAAGATAATCCATAAAAATTAAATGAAAGAGTTGAACATGATGTTTTCGAAAAAAATATTAACGAACACAAAAAAACAAGTAACGAAAATTTGTATATTTTTTTGTGTAAACATAGTGTTTGGATTAAATATATTTGTAGTTTGAGTTTCTCCATATATATTTTTGGTGTTACACAGAGCTAATTCCTTTGTGTTTTCAGTATATTGCCCAGTAAAATGAAGGAATATAATAAAAAATAAAAAGAAGAGGAGGAAAGTACAGGTTGAATATTTATGGGTGCATTTATTTAGTTTGGTTAGGTATAGTAAATGAATTTAATTATTTTCTGACAATAGTGGAAAACAGATGAATTCTTAAATAAATAATTAAGTACTTGTGAACATTTATTTTATGAATGTCTTGCATGTTCTATAGTATGATTTGTTCCATACTTTTTAAAAAAATATATTAATATTAATCTACCCCTTTATAATAAGCTAGCTACCAATATTATGATAAGTTGTAACACAAATTGTCATTATCTTTTTTTTAATCCACAATTGCTATTCTTTGAGTGCGCAAAAAATAGATTTAACTCTAGTGCAATGATCTGCTAACTACACAAAAGAAGAAAATTACAGTAAGTCTCGTGTAACAAACTCGATTGAGAGTACATAGAGAATTTTTAACCTGAAACACTCATTTTAGAGATTCTCTGCTTAATCAACTCAAGCTAAGTTATATACAAATAACTTCAATTAATTTCTTGTTTCTTTCACTATGTATGACTAGTTTTAAATCATAATGTACGTAAAGAATATACATATCTTGTTAAACTAATTGGTCTTTTTCATCACAATCTTATATAATCAAAAATCTTCTTGCTCACGACAAGAAAATATGAAATTATCGGTAATCTCCGATTAATTTTTCATTAAAGCTACATTTATTTGGTGTGGTTATGGGCTTATGGCAGTACATCCCTTATTATTAGTCAAGATAGACTAGACTGCATGCTTTAGGATCGATATAATTCTTCTTGAATTTCACGTGAATGTGGGATATTTTGTGCTCCGAATTTCACGTGAACTTAGAAATAAGGTGTCAGATGCAATGTGGGTTGACTTGTAGTATTTAGTACTCATCTGTTCCCCACCTTGGCAGAAATGAGTAATAACTGCCAAGGTGAGGAACAGATGAGTACTAAATACTACAAGTCAACCCACATTGCATCTGACACCTTATTTCTAAGTTCACGTGAAATTCGGAGCACAAAATATCCCACATTCACATGTAATTCAAGAAGAATTATATTGATCCTAAAGCACACAGTCTATCTTGACGCAAACATCAATAATTGATCTAACAATGAAACAAATTGCAAGTGTTTTGTTGAACCATAAAACAATGACCAGAACATGTGAATCTATAGTAGTTCATTAAAGATCCAAGATAGATGAAATTGCCTGCATGGCACAGTGTTTTTAAGAAGAGAATAATAGTCAAATTGAGTCCAACATTTGATGATCAAAATTTGGATAAAACAATAGAAACTAGGAGCTTGAACTCGGGGGTGCACCACCGAAACCTCCGGCTCCACGACCAAATCCAGGTCTTCCACCACCACCCTACAAGTACAAAATTATAGTTTAGATTTAATCAACACAATTAGATGTTCATACTTCAGCTTAGTTTTGATTAAATGAGAGAGCATCCACAAGATTGGTGTTGTATCAACCAAAAGAAACCATAATAGAAGAGGGCATTAGTGTCCACTAAACGAATTCTTTTGAATAGAGAACATTTCCACCATTCAATTGCCATGCAAATCACATGTTGGTCAAAGCAAAAAAGAAACGAGGAAGACAAGGTAAAGCAAAGGTACTTGAAAATCAACACCCTGAAATGCACTTGCCGGCTTCGATAAGAAGAGAGTGTGGGGGTGGGGAACCAAAATGATATAGGCAATATGGGAAGTTCAGTATCGAAGAGAAGAACTAGTACGGGGACATCTGAATGAAATTCACTATGGTGCAATATCTAGGTGAATCCTTACAGTAACTGTTACACCATTGGCAAGTACCAAATGCATCAAGCAGGAAACACAAGATAATAACATGGGGATTTTACAATTCAGCAAGTAAAAAGGCACATTGGCACCAGAGATGTATGTTTTCCCCATTTCAATTCCTCTAAAATGAAGGAAAGTGACTTTAGTTAAACAGAAAAAAATGAAAGAAATCTTGGTGAGGACCTGAGAGCAACTAAAATCGGCTTTGCTAATGTACTAAGACGAAATTTAATCTAAACAAAAAATGATTGCTATATCATTGCCTTGACTCCTCAATACAAAACATGCTCTGAAAATCTGACATAATAATGTAAAGGAGAAGTATTTTGACTTACCCTAAATGCGGGCTGGTAATCAGCTGGAGCTCCACCCTTCTCACCTCCAAATTCACCAGGTGGACCTCTTGGACCAGCACGGTAACCATCCCTATCACCAAACCTTGGTCTATCACCCTCGAACCTTGGTGGTCCACTGCAAAAATACAAAGGAGATACATCAAAATCAACTCAATCACTTGAGAAACTTTTATTTCAATCAAGCTACACATATGGTTGTGAAATTTACCGGGGCCTATCGCCTGGAGGTCCACCCATGGGACGACCAAGGGGCTTGGCAGACTTCTTCAATGTGGCAGGGACAATTTCAGAAGGAAGATTGAGGTAAGTCCTGAGGAACTCAATGCCATCATTGGTAAGATACCAGTAGTAGTGCATCCAAGCAAAGGTCTCACGCACATACTCCTTTGACTTAAAGCTCTGCATCAGCTTAATCACTTGTAGGTTCGGCACATCAATGTTGGGATGTTTCGCCAAGTTGTAGTCCTTCTTAGCAAAGCATACTCCCTCTACAACGCGTAAATGTAAATTCCGCAATAAATACCAACATCATTTCAAAGATCTCCGAAAGCATCCAACACATAAGAAAACAGAAAGAAATAATTAAAACCAAACCTTGGAAGAGGTACTTGGAGATCTCTCTCCTGTTTTTCTCTGAGATAATCTGAAAAACAATTTGATAAAACACATAAGAAATTCTGAGAGAATTAATTAATTAATTTAAATTTCTTTTTACAACCATGGCATCCACGAGTAACACTGTCCTCCAAAGCTTGAACAGATACGAAAAAATCAATCTTTTTGCCACACTCGGCATTTAACCGGTCACAGCTCAACCCACAGCATTGAATTTCTTTTTAAAACCATAACCATGGTGTCTACATGCAACACTGTCCCCCAAAGCTTGAACAGATGGGAAAAAATCAATCTTTTTACCACACCCTGGATTTGAATCTGAGACCTTGCAGCTCAACCCACCACATTGAATTTATTTATACAATCATGGCGTCCACAGGTAACCCTGACCCCCAAAGCTCAAACAGACAGGAAAAAATCAATCTTTTTAACACACCAGGGATTTGAACCTGAGACCTCGCGACTCAACCCACTACATGGAATTTCATTTTACAAACATGGCATCCACAGGTAATACTCCCCCAAAGCTTGAACAGATAGGAAAAAATCAATCTTTTTACCACACGGGATTTGAACCTGAGCCGTACCCAACCCACTATATTGAATTTCTTTTTACAATCATGGAGTCCACAAATATCACAGTCCCCCAAAGCTCAAACAGATGGGAAAAAATCTATCTTTTTACCACACCCAGGATTTGAACCTGAGCCCTCACAGCTCACCTCACCTCATCAAATTATCTTTCTGGTAATTAGTCATTCAGATTTACAAAAAAACAGATTTTTACTACTTAAACAAAAACTAGTACTGCTATTTCATCACAATTGAGCTATTACTCCATATATTAACACATAAAAATCACTACTAATTAAGAATTAATCTAAGAAATTCAAGCAAACACAGCATTATTATCCGATTAACTAACATTTAAAACACCATTAACGAATAAATACGATAAATTTAAGGTATAATTAGAGATAACCAGAAACATACCATTTGATTTCGTTGAAGAGAAGTGAAACTGAAGAGTTCTCTGAAGAAAGAGGAAGAGATAGGAAGGAGCAAATTAGGGTTTGCAAAGATTTTATTTAGTAGGAAAGAAAAAAAGCCTGTTCGGATTTGGGCTCTAATGGGCTTGGACAAGGTTATACCGTCAGAACTCGTTATAATAGTCATTCGTTATAACGGCCTAATTTTCATCAGAATCGAATTTTGATGTCATATTTTACTTTTCTCGTTAAATAGTTATTCGTTATAACAACAATTCACTATAATAGCCTGATTTTCTTTGGAATATATTTTTAATGTTATATTCTTCAAAATCGATTCTAATGTTATATTTTGCTCCTCTCGTAATAATAGTCATTCATTATAACAATGTTGTATTATAACAACTTGATCTTCTTCGAAATTGATTTTTGATGTTATATTTTATTTCACTATAACATAAGTGACTCATTATAGTGGTACACTCTTTTGTGAAATTATTCCTCTATAATAGTCGTAGTACTTAAATATTTTGTAAGAAATATATTATGTATAAAATAAATTATTAAAAAATTTATGATAATTGTCATAAATGTCACGTACACAATAAAGTTCAAGTACGAATATCTAAAAGGAAAAATATTGTATTTAAATAGTGTCCATGGAGTTATTTATGGCCATAACCTTGTGATAAAAGGTTATTGGTGTTTGCCATTTCTATATTCATATTCTTTCTATTATTATTATTATTTTGTTTAATTGATTAACAAATACATTTCTTCTTCTTGATACAAAAAAAATTGTTAAACTAATTGTATGCATACTTTTATTTGTAACAACTAAATTAGATCTGAACATCAAATATCAGTATACATATATTAACAACCACCTCACCATGCATGTCATGAAGTTTTCAAACAAATACTACTATTATAACGAGGTTTGATTATACCTTACATAAACTCCAAAAAAACAAGAAAACGAAATTGGCCTGGCCCAAAACAAAGGACCCAACCCAAAATCTATACCTAGTGGACTGATGATGGTGTTGAGAACAATTCAAACGTAGGCGATTGAAGTTGAAAATTCACATTTGTTATGCATTTTAAAATTGCTATAAATCTCAGTCACGTGTGTCTGAATTCGCCATAAGTATATATAATGAACAAATTTATCACTTAATTCTTATGATCTATTTCAGTGTTGTATGTG